AGCAGACTGAACTGTTGCTTGCAATCACCCAAACATAATTTAGGTCCATGAGAACATAAGAATAACATTTTAGTAGCTGTCACTTTATTGAATATGCACAAACTCTAAACTAATGGGGAACATGCTTTTAAAATATAGAGATCTAGCAGAGGAGATCAGAATTATTTGGGAACAGGAGTGAGGTGTGTGTCATTCTGGTTCTTCTTTCTGCTGCTGGAATTTTACCAAGGATGTTTTGGGTAAGGCTACAGAACATGTCATTACTTGCTAATAATTTTATTGAGTTATAAAAAGTGGTTATATACTTCTGAAACAGTCCAGAGACCATAAATATAAAACAATAGTAACTGGATAATGGTTTATCTCTTAACTGTTTCTATCACAATTCCATCAAAAAGCTAAAGAACTAGATGACAGCAACAGTGATGGTGATGATGATGATGATGATGATGATGATGATGATGATGTTGATGATGATGATGTTGCTGATGGGATTAGTATCCCAAGTTAGTCAATAAATATTAACTAAGCATCTGCTTTGTGCCTGGTTCTGAGAATATGGGGAAAAGGGAAAAAATGTAAATTTTAGTCCCTGTCCTCAAAGAGCTCAAAGTTTAATTGGAGGTGAGGATGGGGAGGGAGACAAAAAATAAATAATTATGTACAAACAAGCTTTATACAAGATAAATAGGAAATAATTAACAGAGAGAAGGCACAAGCATTAAGGCATATGGGGAAAGGCTTCCTTTAGATGGTCAAGTGTTTTTTTTTTTCTGGGACTTGAAGGAAGCTGGTAGAAAACGATGAGGAGGGAAAGTTTTCCAGTTATGGGGGATAGCCAGTTAATGTGCCTGGATTGAGAAGATGGAGTATCTTGTGTGAGGAACAGAAAGAAGGCCAATGGCACTGGATTACATAGTATGTGGAGGAAGTGGCGGTGTAAATGGTAAGAAGATTGGAAGGTAGGGGTAGTAGAACCAGGTTGTGAAGGTCTTTGAACATCTAACAGAATTTTACATGTGATCCTTGAAGTAATAATAAACTAATAGAGATACTGTGTGTGTGTGTGTGTGTGAAATGGTTAGACCTACACTTTAAGATCATTGCCAGCTGAGTAGAGGATGAACTGAGATCCAGAGAGATGAGGCAGGCAGATCAGCCAACAGCAAGCTATTTCAATAGTCCAGGAGTGAGGAGATGAGGGCCTGCACCAGCATAGTGGCAGTATCAGAGGAAAACAGGAGACATGTGCGAGCTATTGCAAAGGTGAAATTGACAGTGTGATAAAATGAAAAGAAATGGAGAGATAGAAAGCTTTAGGCTCACCTTACTCTAAATACTCAAGATGATCAATTTTATACAAAATATAGCAGAACAAGTGGCACTCCTTCCTTTTTTGTGCCTCAAGAAAGCAAGACACCCCAGAAGAAATCATAAATACCAGACCCTGCTTGCATTGAAATACTTCAATGCAGATGGCACTAACCACTAAAGTGGGCAAACTTTAGTGCTCATGAGTGGCCTGAAGAAAGGAATATTTTTTATTATTGTCCAATACTTATCATAACAAAATTAGAAATAGATCACAAAGAGATCTTTTCATTTTTAGGCAAACTAATGAGGTTCAAGTCACACAGCAATGTGTTGCCAACCAATGCAGTAAACCCACAAAATAATTTCACAGCTGAGAAGATTAAAAGAAATGAGATAAATTGAGGTACTACTAAATCCAAAGAATGGACAAGTTGGAAAGTTTAGAAAATTGAAAATATTCATATAATACAAACTCCAGAAATTATACCTAATAATAAAACAGGTTACATAAAGCAGTAGTGTCTTAAACGATTTTGAAAAAGAGATTGGCATACTTAGAATGGTACTCCAAAAAAACTTTTATCTATTTCGATAGCATGAATGCAACTAATGGACCAATCAAATGAAAACATAGTAAGTCAGGAAAGCAAGCAAATTCTAGCAGGTATCCCTATCTTTTTTGGGGGGAGGGGGTCAAAGACCCTTCTTCCAGTCTGGCAGACATGAATCCATGTGTACCTTCTCAGAATAAATCAGTAAAGCATAAAATATTTTTAAAGCATAAAGTAAAAAACACACAGGATTATGATGAAAATCAATTAGATTAAAATATAATTATCAATTTTTTTTAAAGTTCACAGATCCCAAGTTAAGAACTCTTGTCTATAATTATCATAGATGAATGTTTTTCTCCCATGATATTTAACAGAAAGTATAAAAACAACTGAAAGACTGTTGACAGTGGTATCTGACATGGTCATTTCCATGGTAAATATCATAGGGGGAAAGGTAGAATTTTCAAGGAATAACTCTAAGAACATGTGTTCTTCCACCTCAGCAAAAGTGATTTTAGAGAGCTATTGAAGATATTTCCAAACTACATTGCCTGCACTTTTACTATTTTCAATGAGCCTAAAAAGGATAAGGTTACCTCCTATTTTTTTAGAACTACAAAAAACAACAACAACAACAACAACCAGCTATTATATTGAACTGTGCAATAGCCCACAGAACAACACAATAACAACAACAACAACAAGAAGCATGGTAACAGGATATGAACTACTCTCAGGACAATTTTATTTAACTTTATAAGTTAAAAAGAACATATTTCAACATATATACAATTTATCACTCCTACTACCCTTCCTACCCATTGAACAATGACAATTTTTAAAAAAAACCCTAATCATACAACACATAGTCCAAAAAAACACCATAATCCCACATTGGCCATACCTTTTAACTTCTTCACCTTTTTGGCAAGAGGTGAGTAACCTATTTCATCTTTAGTCCTCTCGACTTATGGTTTACCATTTCTTTGAGATTTAAAGTATTCCAAAGTTGTTTTTCTCCAAAATATTATTGTATTTATATACATCATTCTTCTAGTTCTACTCACTTCGTTCTGCATTAGTTTCATAAAGGTCTCCATAGTTTCCTCTGAACACTTTCTATTTCATTACTTCTTTTGGAACAGTAACATTCCATTACATTCATAAACTGTAATTTCTTTAGTCATACCTCAGTAGGAGTATAGCCCCTTAGTTTCCAATTTTTGGATAATATGAAAGTAGCTACTATAAACATTTTTGTGTACATAGGTCCTTATGTCTTAAAAAAGCAAATCTCTTTAGAGAATAGCATAGTAGTAGTAGTAGTAGTAGTAATGGTGGTGGTAGTAGTAGTAGTAGTAGTAGTATAGCTGTGCCAAAAGAAACACACAATTAACTTTCTAGGCATAGTTCTGAAATTGTTTTCTGAAATTGATGGAACAATTCACAGCTCCATTAACAGTGCATGCACAGTCTCCCTGTTTTTTTTACAGTCTTTCCCATGTTTGTCATTTTCCTCTTTTGTTGTCTTTGCCAATTTGATGGACTCAAAGTGAAACCTCAAAATCACTTTGATTTTAATTTCTCTAATTATTAATGATTTAGAGTCTTGTTCATGTGGTTGTTAAAGTTTATATTTCTTTCTTTGAAAACTGCCTAAGACTTTGTCTATCTAATCCCCATTGAAAAGGATGAAAAGAACAAGGTGATCAATCAACAAGCATTTACTCAGTACCTCCTGTATGTCAAGTACTATGTTAGGTACTTGGGATATAGAAACAACAACAACAACAACAACAGCAAAAATATAAATTGCAAAAATTGAAATGCTCCTACTGATAATAACAATAAAAATGGAACTCAGTATGACATAAACATGAAGAGAACTAGAAACTCTACTGAAATATCAGAAAGAGTTCACTGAATATACACTTATGCATTTGAATTTGATCTTTCTTAATCTAGAACATATTTAAGTAAATAAAAATTACATGTTGGTATGTCTTTGAGTGATGATAAAAAGTTATTTTCCCTCTAATTTCATGAATTTGTATTCACTAATATTGAATAATGAATTTCTCTTTTATCAAGTAGACTCTCACTATTACTTGTTTATCATAAAGTCCAAAGGGGAAAATGCGTGTGTATTTAAATACAGAAATGTATTTGAAGTTGATTTTCTTTAAGTGAGAGAATTTCATCTCCTTTTCTTCAGAAAAGTTTAAGAATTTAGCATCACAAAATGTTAAAGCTGGATAGGGTTCTTAAAATTAACTAGTCCAAATCTCCTTACTTTACAGATGAAAAAACTGAGGCTTAGAGAAATTAAAATTTTATGTAAGATTCTATAGCTTATCAATGATGTAAGCAAACCTTGAGTACAAGTGCTCAGAACCAGTGCTGTAGTCTGCAATATTACTTAAGTTAGAAACATAGATCTCAAGTAAATAATTCAATAAGGTTTAAATTTCCAAAACCTGAACTTGTAACAAATATCTTCTTTTGATTAAAAAAAGTATAAATTTTCATTGGTTTTGAGAAACATTCTGGACTTATAGAAATTTCTAATAAAATCAATGAATAAACGTAATACACTATCTTAGGAGTCTGATCTGTTCTTTTGGAGAGTTCTACTTAAGACTTTCTGTTGCTTTGAGGAAAACAGTCTTCGTTGTGGATTCCTGTGGCTTTCTTGCTTTGGCATAGAATGAAGATCAACACACATTAGCAGAAAATTACATTCTTAAATAGAATTTCACCCTAGCAAAAAGAAACAATATCAAATTTTCAGAATTTTTCCTGTATTGCTTCATATTCTGCATTTGAAGTAACTTGCTCTATAGAGTGTGTTTAAAATGATTTAAAATTGAATCCAAATTCACCTTTTTTATATTAGTTTTAAGAATTGGCCCCATGATAAGAAAAATAGTTTTGAAAAGGATTTGAGGTTCTTTGTTTCAGGGTTTTGATATTGTGTTTGATATTGTGAATACTGACTATAGTAAATGATGAACTGTATTCTTCAGCATCAAAGAAAACTGCAACAACAGCTAAAAAGTAGGCATATGCATCTATATGTGATATGTGATATATAAAGCTATTTTTTTCATTTGGGATTTTTTTCTCCCATAGCAAATGGTTGGTTTCTGGAAAAAGTGAAAGTCATAGACATGGCTACAAAGGAAAAGCATTGCTTCCGATGCAATCGGTATGTAAGTCCATTTGTTTCTATATGTGTTTAAGAATAACAGTTTTCATTATATATGTATTTATACCACTGATATGACATATCTATATATGTGAGTTTATGTGCATGCATACATACATACATACATACACATACACACACACACATATATCTCACATAGTCTTTGAGGTATCTCGCCTCTCACTTGCACTGGCAAGTGACTCCAGAACAAGACTACTATTCCTGGAATCTTTAGGGGTTTGGGGTTTCTCTAGTACTTTTGTTCATGACGTTTATCCTCCTAAATTCAATCAGCATTTACTATCTTCTCAATATCATCAATAGCCACTTAATGTCAATTAGCTTTTACAAAGTGATATTTACTGAGAAAGCACAACCCGTCTCAGAAAATTGGAGTCCACTATACTCCACTATTTTAGTCTCTGGGGAGAATGGAATTCAAATAATGATTACTACTCTTTTGCCACCCAAGTTCACTTCTGGGTGTGACTGTTGTATAGTCAAGCTGTTCCCTTTCTTGCAAGGCTCTTGACTTGGCTATCAGGTCAGTTTGCTGCTGGGTGAGGTCAAGTATTTCTCTCCTCAGAGTTGGCTTTTCACTAGGTTTCACTGCTGAGGTTACTGGAAGACTCTTGTTTGGACTCCAGCAGCTGAAATTCTGCTGTCCTCTAATCTTTTGAAGCTCACGATGTTGCATAATCAATTCTGTTTCTGTCTCAGATACTCATTCACCTAGAATCAGGAAAGAGAGAACAGAGATTGAAATAGAGGTAGCACCCTGCATTCATGGGCTCATGACAACTGAATAAATGGAGTAGGAAGCTAGTTATGCCTGCCCGATGCAGCCAGTGCCACCACTTTATCCCCACCTGGAGGCTTAAAACATTTCTTCTGCCTCACTTGATAGCGGCCTGGGAAGAAAGAGTGTTTTTCTCTGCTTAAGCTTTTTTATACATATTCAGTTCTGTCTCAGAAGCCGGTTAAAAAAGCTTTTGTCACTGCTTAACAAACTTAGAGAAGAAAGTCAGGATACCTAAACATGCTTTGAATCAGGGAAGGGAAGGCTGTCTACATCTCAGACTTCCTGAGGCAAACTCACCATGCCTCCATATGGCCATGGAGCATGTGGAGCACATTGCCTACATTCCTAAAGACTTGGCCATCATTAGTCAGCCCACCACCCCCACGCATATGTTCATAGATGATGACACAGATATGGATATAGATAGATATGATATAGATGTAGATAGATGAAATAGATATTCATATACATACATATATGTATATGTTTACACATCAACACACATGTGCCTATGGGTGAGCATGCCTGGCTTGTGCTCTGTATTAACACAATGCCTGAGTTTTCTAACCCTTATCACAGCCTAGACTACTTGAGCTTTTTATTTCAGGGCATGAATGGTCAAATGAGCAGAATCATGTTATTTTAACAGGCAAAAGAAGCAGTTGCCCAAGGTTTCCTGGGCCCCTGAGGAACATACTCACTTTTTCACCCTTTCTCCTCATTGTTGGGACCCCTCAGAGAATATCTCTCCTACCTTTCCCACTAAGTTCTCTCTACCACCACTATCAAGAAAGCACTGTGCCACTGAATGAGGGACTTTTGTCATGCACTCTGCTCCCCAACCTAAGGATGATGGTACTTCTGAGAAGTGATTCTTTCCCAACCAAGGCTTGCTCATTAATGGACATGAGAACTCATATGGAGTTATCTCAGGGAACCCCTTACTCAGAGTGAAGAGGGGCCTTAATAAACATGGAGCATAATGATTAGTAAGCAGTGAGGAGTTCTTGAGAGGTCTCATTAGCCCACCAAGATTTTAGTCTTTGCCAAAAATTGCCTAAGCAGGTGATAAGTGCTAACAAGCAATAACTTATTTTCTAGAAAATGGAAATGAGTTAAAAAAGAAAGTAAGGAAAACAAAGGAGAAAATGTGAGTGGAGTGGAGTGAAGGAGATGGGGGAATGAGTGAAAATTCAAACCCTTAAGAATTTGAAGAAATGCATTTTATTTTACTTAGTTTTATTATATTAAAATATATATCATATAAATTATATATTGTATATATGTACATGTGTATGTATGTGTATACGTGTGTGTATACATATATATATATATGTGATTTCAAGCAACACTGCACAAAGTAGCCTTTTACACAGTTCAGCTCAATTCAACTCAACAAACATTTATTGAGCACCTCCAATATGTGAGCAGCATGCTAGATCCTGAGATATAGATACAAACAAGCCATTGAGGGTCTGTCTTCAAGGGTCTTCCAATCACTCGATCTCCCCCAAAACCCCTATAAAAAAGGAAGTTACCCCATTTTATATGTAGTCAATTTGAATAAATTGAGTATATTGGATCCTTTTTTTATTTACATGTACACACATTACATTTAATAATTTGTAAAAGTCATCTCTTCCCTAGTCCTAAAAGATCTAGGAAGTTTAATTTAGATGCTTTTATTCATGGATAGAGAAGCATCATAGCCTAGTGGATTGAGAGCCATCTTTAGAATAAAGAAGACTGGTTTCAAATCCTCCACTGATACATAGACTGCATGATTCAGGGCAAATCATTTAACCTCTGAGTTGGCCAGGCAATTTCCTAAGGCCACAAGTTACAGAAGAAGGTCTGATCTACTTTGACAGAGGGAGTTTTCTCATTGAGAATTCCCAGTGAAATAATACTCACCCCCCCAAAAAAAACCATAACATCTGCCATCAGAGGACAAATTTAGTTAAGCATAGAGAAATTTATCACCAAAAGCCAGATGATGAATTCTTTGGTCACAGTGAGTTACGAATAAGAAGAAAAAAATATATATCAAATAGCTTTCAGTCCTATGTGACCACTTGCTATTCTGTAGTGGTAGAAGCAGAATCATGGGAGAAAAAGACAGATAATTGTCACACAATTTGTCTTTAACAGTCAACAAGCATGTGTTAAGAGTCTGCTATGTGCCAAGAATTATGCAAAGGCAAAAATGAAGCATTTCATTGCCGGGCAAGGGGAAGATGATATATACATGTGAATACAAAATATAAGCCAACAAATGCCAGGTGATAAAGCAGGGAGGACCCTAGCAGCCACAGGGAGAGTAAGAAGGGACTTATGTTGAATGTGGCATTTGTGTTTTGAAGGAAAAGAGGGGCTTGAAGCATAGAAAGGGGGAAGAGTACTACAGAACCAGAAGACAGCCAGTGCAAAGCCACAGAGATGGGAAGTGGAGTGTTGAGTTTGAGGAAAGGAAAGAAATTTAGTTTGGCTGGATTGAAGAGTATGGAAAGGAGAGTAATATATAGCAAGGTTGAAATGGATAGGTTGTGAATGAGTTTAAAACATTGACAAAGGAGTATATATTTGATTCCCGAAGCAATAGGGAGCCACAGGAATTCAAAGAGTAGGGGAAGTGAGTGTGGGTCAGTTTTAGGATGTTTAAAAGATGGATTGGAGAGGAAGTGAAATGAGACAAATTACAAACTATTTCTATAGTTCCAAGCATAAAGTAATAATAGTCTAACCTACAGTCATAGCTATCTGAGTAAAAAGTAAGGGACTGAAGTGAGAAATATTGTTAAGGCAAAAAAGACAGTATTCAGAAAACACAGAGATGGGGCAGCTAGGTGGCGCAGTGGATAAAGCACCAGCCTTGGAGTCAAGGGGACCTGAGTTCAAATCCAAACTCAGACACATAACACTTACTAGCTATGTGACACTGGGCAAGTCACTTAACCTCATTGTCTAGCAAAAATTAATTAATTAATCAACACTAAATGAGATAAAAGATGAGAAGACATTTACCTCCAATAACATTTCTCTAGCCCAACCTATTTAAGCAAATTGTGCAGGAATGAAATAGAGAAGATTTCTTCTTAATAAGAAGGCCTAGGAAGCTTCTGTCACTTAAAAAGAGTTGATAAACTTTTTAGGGAAAGTTCTAGAAAGAAATTTTAGTACTTCAAGGTATTCTGCCTTTTCCTCTGGTAAATATTCTCAGGTATGTCATCCAGAAGATGGAGGGTTGCATCAGTCATTTTGAAAATGTTTGTAAACGGGGCAGCGAGGTGGTGCAGTGGACAGAGCATGGGCCCTGGAGTCAGGAGGACCTGAGTTCAAATATGACCTCAAGCACATAACACTTACTAGCCATGTGACTCTGGGCAAGTCACTTACCCCCAATTGCCTCACCAAAAGAAAAAAATATATGTTTGCTACCAACAGTAGAAATTATTTAATGAGCAGAGAAAGAGGGTGAGAAATAAAGTATGGGTCCTTCCTTAAGCAGCTGAATGGGCTGAGCAGGAAGGAACATGTGAAGGTGAGAAAACTCAAGACTGCTTGTAGCTTGTTACCAATTTAACTCACCACATCTCCTCCTCTCAACATGAGCTTACTATCTTTCTCAACTAACAAGTGACCCTAAGTCATTTTTACTGCTTCTGGCTGGCCCCCTGGGTTTAGACTTATTCACAGATGCTAAAGTACAGGTGTTAAATACCTCATTAACTCTTTTCTTTTACTCACTCTGGGAACTATATATTCCCAAAATACTTTCCCCAATTTTTCTTCAGTTCTTTCCTGACATGTGCTCTAAGCCATGAAGTCTTCTGAGCCAAGTTTGTCTGATAGCTCTAAACTTTTTAAAGGGGAGACAGGAGGTAACACTTTGTCCCACCTATGTAAGGGTGGCCACTTCACCTAGAGTAGGGTAGGATGGGGTAGTGAGGCAACTTGTCTCTTATAGGAGCTCAAACCTTATTTCTTCTATAGGATCTGAAGTAAGCAAACTGACAAAAACACGGGTTTAGCAATATAAACAGGTTACTTCACAAAGGCCACACATTGTTCCCTTGTGTCCCTTACTACTTATTACGGAAATAACTATTGTTTATTATTGTTAGAAAAAAATATAGCTGCTGCTCCTACTACTGCTGTGGCTGCTGTACTACTACTGCTACAATGTACCAGAGGAACTTGAGCTATAACAATTAAAATCTCTCTGTTGACCATCTTAGACTAATGAGGGTTATGGATAAAGTGGGAACTGAGCTCTAAGGGCATTTATGTGATGACTGCTAACTCCTCTTGAGGAAGACATTATCTTTGTGCAAACCTCATATTTCTTTTCTTTTTCTCCAAATACAGGTGGCTTACTGAAGATGAGCATGATGGACTCACTGTTATAAAACTCTACCCATAAATCTGGTTTTTTTCTGCCTTTATCCTCAATACATTTCTTTTTTCAAATTCCTATTGATCTGAATTCTCATATTCCTTTATGTAAAATTATAAAAATGTCATAATTATTATAGATGAATGTCAAAATAATAACAGCCAGCGTTTATATCACCAGTAGCATTTAATGTTTGTTGGATATGTAATTCCTTCTATGGGAAATATTAAATAGTTGGACTGGAATACTCTGTAAATAAACAGACTTAAAACAAACAGTAACTCTGTCCATGCATGATAAATACACTTAAGTAGATCAATAAATTTAGCACCCAAGATATTGTTTTTTTTTCCATTAAGTATTGATTGTCCTCATAGCCTTTAGTAAAATAAAGTGAGGAAACAAACATGCTGTTTGTGTGACACATCTGTCCTTCTTTCCAAAGAGTTTGCTCTAAATCCATTCGTTGCAAAGCAGAGGTAATAACAATAACAGCCACCAAATATAAATATGCTTTAAGTTTTGCAAAATGGCTTGCATATACTATCTCATTTTATCTTCACAACAACCCTGAGAGTTAAGTTCTATTATTATCTCCATTTTACGGATGACAGGTTGTGCCCTCCCTAGGTTTACATAGCTAGTAAATGTCTGAGGCTAGATTGGAACTCAGGTCTTCCCAACTCCAGGTCTAGTACTCTCTCCACTGTGTTTCCAATACATAGGAGAAATGTATCAAATTCCAGATTGTAAATGCATTTAAGTTATGGTTTGACCAGTTCCCTAGTTCTCCTACCTTCTCCAGACTACTCTCCTTCATATCTAGTGCTCTGAAGTACTACTTAGAAGTATGAATCTTTAGCGCTGGAAGGGACAATTGGATATCCACTAGTCTTCACCAGTAATATTAAAGGTATAAAATTGGTGCCCACAGAAGTTAAATGACTGACTTAAGGTGATAAAGTAAATAAATGAGCTAGCCTAGATCCTAGGTTTTCTGACTCCTAATCCAGTATGTTCTCCCTGTACCATGTTGTTTCCTAACATAAATTACTATTACTAAGAACCATAATTATGTTAATTTCCCCAGTCCTCTGTTCATTATAATGTTTTCTTCTCTCTAACTTCCTAGTCACCTAGGCTTATGACCGTCTGGCAATCATTGACTTTTATCTCCCTGTTAAGAGGAAATAAACATTAATATGGTGCCTATGATGTGCCAGGCACTGTGCTAAATGCTTAAAAAAGAAGTTTCTCATTTGATCCTTACAACAACCCTGTGAAAAAGTTGAGGAAACTGAGCCAAACAGTTTGTGACTTGGTCACATAGCCAGTAAGTATCTCAGGCTAGATTTGAATTCAGGTCTTCCTGACTTCATGTCCAGTGCTCTATTCACTTTGCCACAAGCTAACTCCTATTAACTGCCATATATAATCAATAGACAAGTCAATTTTACCTTGACAATATCGCTCATGTATCTTCCCTCTTATCATTTTGACTATGCCTATCCTAGTTCAGGACTTCTATTGACACTGTGATGATACAATAATTTCCTGGTCACCTACTGAAAGAGATCTCAAACTGAAAAATTGAAGGAATATTATAGCCAAATTCTAGAGCTCCTAGTTCAGTACGAAAATACTAAAAGCAGCCAGAAAGAAACAATTAAATATTGAGGAGCCAGAGTTAAGATCACATCGAATTTAGCAGCTACCATTATACAGAAGCAGAAGGCTTGGAAAGTGGTATTTTAGAAGGCAAAAGAGCTAGGATTACAACCAAAAATGACTTACCTGGAAAAATCGAGTATCATCCTACAGGATAAAAATGAATAATTAATGAAATAGAGAACTTCTAGGCATTACTGATGAAAAGTCCAGAGCTAAATAGAAAACTTGACATTCAAACACAAGACTCAAGAGAAGCAAAAAATATAAACATGAGTGAGATATCATGAGAAACGTAATAAAGTTAAACTGTTCACATTCCCAAATGGTAAGATGATATATGTAACTTCCAAGACATTTATCTTCATTAGGGCAGTCAGAGGGTATGGGATGTTGGGATGATCTCAAAGGAATAATGGAAGGCTGAGAAAGATGTATATACTTGGGACAAGGGGAAAGAGAGAGAAAGAGTGGGGAAATTATCTCATATAAACGAGATGTGCAAGGAAGAGTTTTTACAATGTCAGGGATGTGGGGGAGGGGCAAGTGGACAACACTTGAACCTCTCTTTCATATGAGCTGGTTCAAAGAGGGAAGAATATATACATATACACACTCAATTCAGTATAAAAATCCAGCTTACCCAAATGGGAAATAGGAGGAGAAGGAACTACAAGAAAGGTAGGATGATAAGAGAAAAGAGATTAAGAGAGACAGTGGTCAGAAACAAAACAGTCTTTTGAGGAGGATCAGGATAAAAAAAAGAGACAGAGAAGGATAAGGAAGGAGAGAAATACAGAGTTACCAATCATAACTATAAATGTGAATGGGATGAACTTGCCCATTATATAGAAGCAGAGAGTAGAATGGATTAGAAACCAGAATCCAACAATATGTCCTTCACAAGAAACATACTTGAAGAAGAAATACACATGGAGTTAAAATAAGAGGCCAATTTTCCTATTAAATATTGATGCAAAAATTTTAAATAAAATACTAGTAAAAAGATTACAGTAATATATTATAAATTTCATACATTATGACTAGGTGGGATTTATACTACGAATGCATGGCTGGTTCAATATTAGGAAAACTATAAGCATAACTGACCATACCAAAACAAAACCAACAAAACTCATATGATTATATAGAGGCAAAAAAAAAAACTTCTGACAAAATGTAATATTCATTCTTACTGCAAAGACAGGAAAGCAAAGGAAGCTTTTCTTAAAATGATAGGTAGTATCTATATAAAACAAGCAAGTATTATTTGGAAAAGGGAAAAACTGGAAGTCATCCCAATAAGATCAGGGTGAAGCAAAGATGACCATTATCACCTTTATTGCCCACTATTGTACTAGAAATACTAGTTATAAGCAATAAAACAAAAAAAAAAGGATTGAAAAACTAAGAATAGTCAACAAGGAAACAAAACTATCACCTTTGAAGATGATATGATGTTACACTTAGAGAACTCTAGAGAATGAACTAGAAAACCAAATGAAACAATTAACAACTTCAGCAAAGTTTCAGGATATAAAATAAACCCATATAAATCATTAGCATTTCTATATACTACTAACAAAACCTAGCAGGAAGAGACATAAAGAGAGATTTCATTTAAAATAACTGCAGACAGCATAAAATTGTTGGGAGTCTACTTACCAATGCAAACCCAGGGACTATATGAACACAATTACTAAATAAAGAAAATATAAATAATTGGAAAATATTAATTTCTCATGGGTAGACTAAGCCAGTATAATAAAAATGATCATTCTGCCTATGTTAATTTACTTATTCAGCACCATACCAATTAAATTGCCAAAAAAAAATTTACAGAGCTAGAAAAAAATAATAACAATTTCAACTGGAAGAACAATAGGTCAAGAATTATAAATGAAATAAAAGAAAAAAAAAAGATGTGAAGGAAGGTAGCCTAACAGTATCAGATTTGAAACTATACTACAAAGATTTGAAACTATACTATCAAAACAGTCTGGTACTGAATATGAAATAGAGTGGTTGATCAGTCAAATAAATTAGGTACACAGTAGTAAATTACCATAGTAATCTAGAGTTTGATAAACTCAAATATCTAAGCTTTTGGTCCAAGGACTCATTTTCTGGGGGGAAAAAACTGCTGGAAAAAAACAAAAGTAATTGGCCAGAAACCTGGCATAGGCCAATATCTCACACTGTATATTGGGATAAGGTAAAAATGGGTACATGATTTAGAAATAAATGATGATATTCTAAGTAAACTAAGGTGCATCTAAAAAAAATACCTGTGACCCTATCTAAATATAAGGGAAGAGTTCATAACCAAATGAGATACAGAGAGGATTGTGAGAGGTAAAATAGATGATTTGGATTATATGCAATTAAAAAGGTTTTGCACAAACAAAACCAACACAGTGAAAATTAGAAGGAAAGCAGGAATCTGGGGAAATTTTTTCAGCAACTTTCTCAGATAAAGAGGATTCTGGGAAGATGGTGGAATATGACATAAAATTACCTGGCTCTTCCAAATTCCCCAAAAAACAATTTAACGTAATGCCTCAAAGTTAACTTTAGAAAGGCAGAAATTACTAAAAGTTGGGGTAAACCAGTTGTCCAGCCTAAAACAACTTGGGAGGACTTTGGGAAAAACCTGACCTCCTAGAGTGATGGTCTGTCCTGATGGAAATTCAGGTACTTCTGGGCAGATATTGCTGAATTAACAAACAGGAAGCCCTGGGGGCATCTGTGTTACAGCAGACTCAGCTTCAGGAACTTTTACCCCAGGGATAGTATGAGAGTCAGATGGCTGATCAGGGGAAGATTGCAGAGCCCTCCACTAGTGCTAGAAGAGGCTCCCAGGTTTGCTGACCAGATTTGGTCCCAGGAAGTGACTGTGAGACTGAAAAAGTGAGCACACACAGGTGCGTGCTGTTATAAAAGTGTGGGGCCCCGATGACATGGTCACTCATAGAAGAGTAGAGTCCCTGGTTCTGATTCCAGGGCAGAGGAGTGAACTGAAGCTTGCAACCATTGCAGGGACCGTAGGGAGTAAGAACATTTGTAGTGACAACATTGCTGGGGGTCCTATCACAGCTCAGGGGCTGGGAAGAGTATTTGAGGTCAGGCTCCCAGATAAAGCTCAGAAAACAATAGCATGAAAAACCTGAAGCTTAAGACATTATCCTCTATGCCTCAGAACTAAAACCCAGCTCTAATACAAAGTTAATAGCCAAGAAATAAGCTACTAAAATGAGGAAAGGAAAGAGAAAGAACCTGACCACAGATATCTACTATAATAATAGAGAGATCTGGGTTCAAATTCAGAAGAAAACAATGAAGTCAAAATAGCTATTTCTACTTCAAAGAAAAACACAAAATGGCCACAAGCACAAAAATAGCTCTTAGGAGAGCTTAAAAGGGACTTTAAAAATCAAATAAGAGAGGTGGAGGAAAATTAAAGGAAAAACTAAGAATAATGCAAGAAAATCAAGAAAGTTATGAAAAGAAAGTCAATCAATTGGAAGAGATCCAAAAACTTATGGAAGAAAATAACCCTTTAAAAATTAGAATTGGGCAAGGGAAGCTAATGACTTCATAAGACATCAGGAAATCAAAAAGAATGAAAAAAATAGAAGGCAATGTGAAACTTCTTATTAGAAAAACAACTGACCAGGAAAACAGATCAAGGAGAGAGATAAAATAAGAATTGTTAGGCTACTTCAAAGTTATGATCAAAAAAGGAGTCTAGTTACTATACTTCAAGAAATTAGTAAGGAAAATTATTCTGAAGTTTTAGAACTAGAGGGTAAAATAGAAATTGAAAAAAATCCACTGATCACCACCTACAAGAATCAGGAGAAACAAAAGAAGGTAAACATAAAAGATCAATTATAAGAGATTTTGTAAGGTCAGACAAAAGCATATGATTATATCAGTAGGTACAGAAAAAGCTTCTGAGAAAATACTATTAAAAACACTTGAAAGCATAGTTATAAATGTATTTTTCCTTAAAATGATAAGGAACATCTATCTAAAATCATCAGTGAGTATTATTTATAAGGGGATAAGCTAGAAAACTTCCCAATAATATCAGGAATGAAATAAGGATGCCCATTATCACCACTATTATTCAATGTATTAGAAATGCTAGCAATCACAATAAGAGGGGAAAAAAATTAAGGGAATCAGAATGGTCAATGAAGTAATAAAACTATCTCTTTTTGCAGACAATATGATGATATACTTGGAAAATCCTAGAGATTCAACTAAAAAGCTAGTTAAAAAAATAATAATTTAGAAATCATCAGCATTTTGATATATAACCAATAAAATTATGCAAGAAGAGACAGTAAGAGATATTCCATTTAATGTAACTGTAGACAGCATGAAATGCCTGGGACAAACCCAGGAGCTACATAAGCATAATTATAAAATACTTTTTATACAAAGTCAGATTTAAATAATTGAAGAAATATTAGTGGTTCATGGGTGGGCAGGTCCAATATAATAAAAATGATAATGTTACCTAAACTAATTTTGTTCTTCAATGCTATTTCAATTAAATGACCAAAAATGTTTTATTGAGCTAGAAAAAATAACAAAATTCACTTGGAGGAACAAAAGATTAAGAATATCAAAAGAATTAATGGAAAAATATAAAGGAAGGAAGTTAAGCAGATCTTAAAAGAAGTACCAGATCTTCATTATAAGGCAGTAATTATGAAAACTATCCAGAACTAAGAAATAGACTAAGAAATAGAAAAGTAGATTGGTGGAAGAGAATAGACATACGATACACAATAGTAAATAATTACAGTTTGTGTTTGACATTATGAAATGCAGAATGGAGAATTTTGATTGCATTAAATTAAAAAAAGTTTTGCATAAACGAAGCCAATTCAACCAAAATTAGAAGGAAATCAGAAAACTGGGAAGCAATTTTTACAGCCAGTGTCTCTAATAAAGTTCTCATTTCTAAAATATATAGAGAGCTGAGTCAAATTTTGAAGAATACAAGTCATTCCCCAATTGATAAATGGTCAAAGGATATGAATGGTAATTGGAAAAAAATGAAATACTATTAAGTAGGGGGAGAAAGAGTTCACTATTTGGTAAAATTACTGGAAAACTGGAAAGCAATCTGA